TTTCATGGACAAAGCCATGTTCCTTCTTTACCTGTATGGCTATTGAGAGGGTGAAGAGAGGGACACACTGAAGGCTTCTTGGATTAGGACCTTTCATTCTTACCCTAAAGTAAACCTTTTTAAAGGGACAGTCCAATGATATAAAGGCAACAGACCGAGAAAGTTGGAGTTGACTGAACACAGAGCAAAGAGCCAGAAGATGGGAGAAAGACAGAGGTAGGAGATTGTAGAACTCGTGTCATGAGATGAAGAAAGGCAGAGATGAGGAACATAAAGATAGAGCCAGGAGATGGAGACAGACAGAGTTGGGGAACATAGAGATAGATAACAAACTTGATAGAGTTTTTGATGAAGTAACAGAGAGGATGGATGAAGACAGTGCAGTTGATGTAGTTTATATGGTTTTTGAAAAGGCGTTTGATAAAGTGCCACTTAAGAGAGACTTGTAAGCAAAATACAAGCCCACGGTACTAAAGGGACAGTGGCAGCATGGATACTGGCTGGGAGACAGAAAGAAGAGAGTGGTGGTGAACAGTTGTTTTTTTCTGATTGGAGGGAAGTGTGCCATGGTGTTCCCCAGGGGTCAGTATTGGGACCACTGCCGTTTTTCATCTGTATAAATGACCTGGACTTGGGTATAGAGTGTACAATTTCCAAGTTTGAAGATGATACTAAGCTAGGAAAGGTAGCAAACAGTGAGGAGAATAGTAGCATACTGCAAATGGACATAGACAGACGAGTAACATGGGCAGGCATGTGGCAGATGAAGTTTAATGTGGAAAAATGAGACAGAGCCAGGAGATGGAACACAAAGATTGAACCAAAAGGTGAAGACCCACACAGATGTGGAACACAGAGATGAATTTATAGATTGAGTTGAAAAGTCCCTGTCTGGAAAATGGTAACAACAGTGGAAACATTGTACCAGGGAGAGTTCCTCGGGATGTGAAATATATCTCCATGCAAGAAGACCCATAACGTTACAACAACAACAACAACAACTTGCATTTATATAGCACTTTCCACTCCAGGCAGTGTCCCAGAGCACTTAACAATGGTGGAGCTCGATGCGAGTTGGGCAGGGGGAAGGCGACCATAGGCACGGTCAAAGATGAAGGTCTTCAGGTGCGACCTGAAAATGGAGAAAGAGGGGGCAGGCAAAGGGATTGAAGGAGGGAGTTCCATAGCTTTGGAGCATAGCGGCTGAAGGCATGGCTGCCGATGGTGGAGCGGAGGATTCGAGGGACAAGGAGGAGGCTGGACCAGTAGAGCGGAGACAGCAGGTAGTTTACTTTAGTTATAACAACAGAGATGGCTCTGAGATGACAAGAGCCATCTGCTCCACCCTGGTCTTATTCTGTGCTAGGCAAACCTCTTGTGAAACAAAGAGAGATAATGAACAGGTACCAGTTCATGTGAAGAACATTGATAAACTTCATATTCACTTTACATCCAGCTCTCTGTCCCTGTCATACTACTGTCAGTTATAACAGTCCATAGTCAACAACAACATCAACAACAAAATTACATTTGTAAAGTGCCTTTCAAATTGGGAGGATGTCCTAAGACACTGGACAATGTTTTGGACCCGAGCTGGGGGTCGGGAGCGTGGGAGGCAGGGGAGGAAGGAGGGTGACCAAAGGCACGGTCAAAGAGGAGGGGCTTGAGATGGGTTTTAAAGAAGGCAAGGGAGGGTCAAGGCGGAGTTCCAGAGAATGGGGGCAGAGTGGCAGAATGCCTGCCCACCAATGGTGGGGCGGGCGAGGCAGGAGACGTGAAGCAGGCCGGAGCCCGCTGAGTGGAGGGAGTGGGCAGGTTGGTAGGGGTTAGGAGGTCACAGAGGTAGGGGGGGAGAAAGGCCACGGTGGCTTTGAAGGTGAGTACCAGGATCTTGAACAGTGTCTTCTGTGTGAAAGGAAGCCAGTGGAGTCGGGCGAGGATGGAGGTGAGAGGATTGTGGAGCCTAGTGTGGGAGAGGACACAGGCTGCAGAGTTCTGAATGATCTGCAGCCTATGGAGGGAGGAGTTCGGGAGGCCATAAGCAGGGAGTTTGCATGGTCAAGCCTGGTTGTTATGAATGTGTGTATGAGGGTCTCGGTGGCCTGTGGTGTGAGACAGTGGCGGAGCCGGGTGATGTTGCGGAGGTGGGGGAAGGCAGAGTGGGACATGGCGCAGATGTGGGTAAAAAGGAAAGTGGAGGGTAAAACAAGACCCCAAGGTTCCGGACTGGCTTAGTAAGGTGGAGTGTGCAACCATGGATGGTGATGCTGTCAGCGCCTGAGGTGCGGAGGCGCTGACGAGAGCCAATCAGGAGAGCCTCAGTCTTGTTGACATTCAACTGTCAGTGAGAAAGCTTAATTGAATCATAACTAATCTTTTACAGATATCAAATAGACTTGGATGTATTAAAGGAAAGGAATTACAGTGATTTTCTACAAACTTTATTTCTCATTCATGAAAAGCAGAAGAAATGCAACTACATTAATATTAATATTTAAACAATCAGCTTTCCATCGATAAGGTAGATGACATACATAGTGCTACAGTTTAAGTACACTGGGGTAGAAATTTCACCTGGCTCAGTTTACTGTGTTAACATTATTATTATTATTGCTATTATAGCATTTCAAAGAGCCCAAAATATGGCAAATTGTTATCTTTAATGCCCTTTTTCTGCAATTTTTGAAAAAAAATCAAAGAAAAGTGGCTTCAAAATTAATGACTGGATAGTATTTAAGAATCTAACAAGTTCTGGATGCTCTGAGATGCTGCACCAATACAGTAAATCTAGACTTGGGTGGAATTTTAACCAAGCAGGTTTCAAAAATATTTTAAATATAAACACAATCAGTAATATTAGTATATTTGGTAACATACAGAATAGAGCAATACAAAAATCAATCCAAATATGTTCCAATTGCTCAGGAAGATTTACCAAGTTCCCAGACAATTTCTTCAGCCTTTGTCCATGTTTAGACATGTTAGTAAACCAAGGGTCCTAGATCGTTGCACAAACCTATATTGTACATGTTGCAGTTGTATTGCTCAGCTTCTGAAGACTAATTCCAAACCGCTGAGTATTTTTGTGCATGCTTTTAAACACATGCAACTGCAGATATATAATTCTTTACTATTGTGCCTGTCTATTCAGTGACCTTCATTAGCTGACAATAATAATACATTGTGCACAGGGGACGGAAAAATAACTCTGGTTCAAAAGGAAATTAAATTGCTAACTTCAAACCAGAGTGACTGGAAACATCACTGTTGATAAAGTAAAGCGGAACTGAGTGGCAATGCGCCCAGACTTATATTGCTAACTCTTACCCTTGAGTCGTGTCTGCTTGTCAAAACTACCGAAAACCGACTTACAAGTTATGTCTAACTTTCCAAAATTCTGCACAATCTTAAATTTTAACACAATGCTTTAAAGGTTAAGACAATGAGAAATATTGAGCTACAAACAACAATTTAATCGGCATCTGAAAGAGGTAACGTTTCAGTTCTGTTAAATGTTCACATCCCAAACGCTAACCTATTGTTCTTTCTAACCTTTAACCATTAGTACTGTGAGACTTCACTCCCATTCACAAGGAAGTACCTGCTGGTAAAATGAAACTAAATGCAGCAATAAACTATGGGATTGCATTGTGGGGGTGGGATGGGAGGTTTGCTAACTGTTCCCTTTTACAGCAATCTATGCACATATTTGTACTTGGTTAATGTAAAATTGAAATTGCTCTAAAGTGTAAATGTGCATAAATATTTAACGGGAAAATAATAGTAAGTGGGATTTGACGAAATGAAAAAACATTCTGAGATAGAAACAGAAAGAAATGGAGGAACTATAGATAAATGTAACAAAATAACTTTATAGTGCTCTATCACTTTGAAATGTCTCAAAGCGCTTCACAAGTAATTACTGTTACGTACGTACGTGTATGTGTCGGATGCTTTTTAGGCAGCAAAACACCAGCAAAGCCCCCAAAACAGCAATGAGGTGACGATGTCTACAACACCATTGGAATAGAGTGACAATGAGCTCAAGGCTCAGGACTTGAACCCATATTGCTCTAACTCAGAGTGTAACAAACTGAGCCAAGCTGTCATTTAAAAACTGCTTGATGCTGTGATGGGGTGTGAAGACAGTGCGATGGGTGCTGTGGAAGAATGAGATCAGATGGGCCTTAGTTGATTCGAACTAATCCTGTGATCTTGTTATGCACAATTTTTACATTTTTGTGAGAGAGAAAAAACAAGACATGAGCAGTGAACATGTAAAATGAGAATAAGTGGAATCCTCTATAAACGGTGCAGGAATGAAAATAATCCATACATAGCACAAGAACCTGCTTGTGTGCTACCTGAAACTACCACTGTGTTTGTAACATTGAGCTGCCTGAAGCTACATCAGTAAATTCCCTTTGTTATTTTATGACCTTATGATGATTTACAGCAAAAAAAAGACAAGTGATCAAAATGAGGATCACGTCAATCTTTAGCACCTGTTGTTTTTAATATTCATTGTAAGTACCTAACCATTGTGCATGCCCGACACAACAAAAATGTGCCTGTTGAATAGCAGTTTTGTTAAATAATGTTTTTTTTAGCACCATAAGAGGTTGTAATGGTTGAGTTGCCACTGTTACTCAGGGATTATTTTTGTAATTTGTTACTGTATGACATTAGCATTCTACAAGCCAGTATCTCACCAAGGTGCAAACATATACATACCCGTTATATTTAAATACTGTTCTGACTCAGTAATACAATATTGATTCATGCGCAAAACATATTGTAAACTGCTTTCTATTCTCATCTTCTCATTATATTAAATAAAATGTGGCAAAAATGTACCGTGCTGTTTTTCTTCCATAAATACTGTGCTTTGTGTTGATAAAATAAATTCTGCATTTTATACATGAGCTGTTTTGGTGAAATAAAAAAGCAAGGAAAGTGATATTATTTACGCATCTGTAAAGTGATACCTTTAAAGAGAAATGTCAGTGATAATAATGGTACATTAACGCAAGCTTGTTCTGCTAAGAACAGGTAGATAAGTATCCCTTATGCTGAATAGCAATTATTTTGAGGAACCTTAATGCTGCATGGTGTGAATCTTCCATACACCAATGGATCACTTGAACCAGTACAAATAGTTAGATGTCATTCTTGGGAAACATAGATTGTTATTGCAGAAGCCTCCATAACTTGGTGGACAGGCTGAACATGGTACTCCAACTTTATAGGGTGCTTCTCCAATCCAATTTCCCCTGAAAGAAAAACATTACAATGAGCCATGAATTCACAATGACATTTTGTCTGTGAAGTTGCATCAAATAATAATCCTTGCATTTAATATAATGCTTTTCACGTCTTCTAGACATCTCAAAGAACTTCACAGAATAGACTGTAAAGTGAATCAACTGTATATTTTGAGGCAAAACCTGGCAGCCAATTGCACACAGCAGTGTCCCACAAACAGTCGTGAATTGAAGTGACCAATTGATTATTGTTTTTTTTTCTTGAAGGATTATTATCAGGCGTGTGGAGTAAGTAAACCTGCCCAAGGTTTTGCCCTGCCGGGAATCGAACCCAGGTCTCTAGTTTGCAAGGCAAGTGCCCTAACCAGTGAGTGACAGGACTACAGAAATGGATCATAAGTGAAAACCATCTGGCCCATCAGATCCCATTCTTCCAGAATATCCAACCTACTGTTGCCCGAACGCTCTAAGATGGCAGTCTGCATGAAGGGCACTATATAAATGCAAGTTGTTGTTGTTGTCCTAGCATTACAGCATCAAACTGTCTTTTAAATTAGTCCAATAGCCTATCCTCAACTACCCATTCTAGTAACCTGTTCCAGTCATCAATTGCACACTGGATAAAGAAACATTTTCCAGTGTCTGTCTTGAAATTTTAATTTTCAACCTTAAACCTGTACCCTCTTGTCCTTCGTATGAAACTGATCATTCATTTCATAGCTGTTTGTGGGACAATGCCATGTGAAATTAGCTGCTGTATTTCCCTACAAATACATAGTAAATCCTGTGAAACACTTTGAGACGTTTCAATGACATGCTAAGGTATTACATCAAAGGCAAGGATTAATATAAAATCCAGGAAAAAAAATACTGTAGCACGAGAACTGGAAATTGATGACTTACTTTGGAGAGTAGTTGCACACCAGGTAAACAGCCCGACGCCATGTAGACCCCCAAACATTCATATTGTGGCATGTATGGATTGCACAGCCCACTCGATTCGATGTTGCCCAAACCATCTGTAGCAAAACAATTGTCATTAACAATTTTACTTTTTAAGTAAAACATTTATGTAAAAACTAGAAGTTATTGCATGCTCTTACCTGTGTGTAATGTGTGCATACTGGTCCACTGCATTTTAGAGGGCACCTGGGGTTACAGTCACGAGGATATGGAAAGCCATAGTCCTTCACTTCATCGTACCAGGGTTTTATCAGCTGCAAAATATTCCTGTAACTATATAGAACATCATGGAAACATTAGATGTAATGCCTCAAGGCAACACTAAAGTAACAATTAGAAAAATCCCCCCAGATAAAAAACAGTAATTCAATTCATGGCTGTTTGTGTGATGTTGCTATGAGCAAACTGACTGCTGCTTTTGTCTACAAATACCCATCACTACACTTTACACTAAATCCCGTGAGGTCCTTTGAGGTGTCCTCCCGGCATGAAAGGCATAGGTATCAAATGCAAGAATTAGGGTTGTTCGTTAATAATAAAAGATATTAAGAGATAAAATCATTAAAATATCAAATGCCTTTTTAAAAACAGCTCTCCCTTTTTTATGTTCCATACATACAAATTAATTGTAATGTAAATGAAAGTGTTTCTTTCTCCTATTGCAAATACAATCTCAAGTGAAATGCTGACGATTTGGTGTCCCCTGTTTTGAGCAGATCAACGTGTTACAGCAGAAATAGCACACCAAACCCAAAGCCAATGGCAATGGCTAGAGTGCTATCAACTGAGCCAAGTTAACACAGTGATGTGATAATAAGCACATTGCGGGACATTCTGCTCCTGTCAAAGACCCAGTTGATCACTCAACATCCCCCACTTTTAAACTAGCCTTTAAACAGAGATCCCCAGCATATTAGTGTATTCTGTGAGACATCTCAAAGACGTGATAAGGCGCTATATCAAATGCAAGGATTATTATATCAGAGCCGGTTCACAGAATACCAGCTAAACTGAATTTTAAAAATTATCGTTTGAACAAAGTCGTGTGTGTGTGTGCAGTGCGGGGTGGCGGTCAGTCATTGGAAATCACTGTGAGTGGAATGTCCAAGAATTGACAATTAGCACTGGCAATAATTATCACATCCAACATTTTTCACCCCACTGTGTTTGATACACACTTCCATTTGCATTTCACCAAAAAAATTCAAACACCAAATATTCACCGTCCAGAACGAACTGATAGATTTTGTCCGAGGAATCTCAGTAGGTAAGGTGGTCCATGGTCCCAGATACATGTAGCAGCCCACGATTCAGCAGACTTGGCTAGATTCTCATCCCAGACCTGTAATGTTAACAGAACAAAAAGAGTAATTTTTCTTAACCATTATAGTCACAGTGCTTTAAACCAGCACGTTCTAGTCAGTTCCTTAATTTTGTGCAGATATCACCTACCATGTGTAATACAGACTCCCCTCCCCTTCCCCACCCCCGTTACTAATTTTGCATCTGGTATGGGCTCACACACTTGGCCCAACTCCAAAGCAAAATAATAGTCATGGTACACAAGAGAACTTTGAGGCTCGCGTTCTGAAAATTATTCAATGTAAAAAAGATTAGATTAGATTCTATTTCACTTTGTAACTTTAAAACATCTTGAAACACTTCACAGGTAATCACTGAAGAGTGTAGTGACTGTATTTTTAGGTGAATGCAGCAGCCAATTTGTACACAGCAATATCTCACGAATAGCCATGAATGACCAATTTTATCTGGAAGATTATTGACCAGGCACTGTGCCCTCCATTCAATCTGGTTCATACCTTCAACCCAACTCACCCCACTATCAGTGGTCGAGCTTTCATCCATTCCACCCCCATTTTTAATGCCAACCTTAAGACCCATCTTTTCAACTGTGCTTTCAGTCACCTCCCCCAGGCCCCACACCCCACCATTCCCCACTCCCTCCAAGTTCAGACTCCCCATCAGCAGTGTGAAGCACTTTGACTTTGAGACATTCTCCCAGTGTGAAATGCTCTATAAATGTAAATTGCGGTTATATGTTCCTCAATCCTGCCTAAAAATGCAGAAGTATAAACATGGCTATCAATGGATGGCAAGTTTAGTTGTACAGAACAAAGCGAACGTTCACAACTATGATGCTAAGGAATTTTGCAGCCAACAAGACTTGCCACTCTATAAATACAAGGTGTTGTTGTAGGTTGGACGTTTTGAGAGATACAGAGGATGGATGATCTATTCTAGGCAATAGATATACAAGGTGCAGTTGAACACAATGATCTCTGATACCTCACCCATTCTTCGTCCATGACCCAAACAGTGATTGTTGGCAGGCTATTCAACCATAAGTGGCATTCCAGCCAAGTTTGATTCAATGCTTAACCAGGGCCAAACATTTTTTGAGGCAGGATCATTCTGAGTTGTGGAAGAGACGTCAATCCAAAGTAAAAGCTCAGATTGATCCAAATGCTCATCCCTAACATTGTTCAGCAGCTGTGGAGAAATCTGACATGTTCCACTCTCATGTGGTTTGACTTCCACAGTGCCAAAAGTGAGTGGCTAAAAAAAGACGATGGGTGGAATCCAAAAGAGGGTGTGTTAAATCTTCTGCCAATTCAGATTTGGCCAGATTTTACAGATATGATTCATTAGAAAACCCTGGAAAGTTAGAAATCACACTAACTATGTTTTTACTCGGTATCACAATGTCTTGCAGGGTCATGGAATGAAAATGACTCCTTTTTCTGAAGATCTCATTGTATGGTGGTAGATGATCTGTGTCTGTGGGTGTTCTGACAACCAAATCATAATAATAAAAATAATCCGTGCATTTGATATAGCAAAGCACTTCACAGAATGTATTGCAAAGTGATTGGAGTGAATGACCAAGTTATTGTTATTTTTGGGGGGCNGGGGGATTTATTACCCTTGGCATGAAATCCGCCAATCGACTAATGACCAGGTTTCTACCTATTGCTAGGTAAACACAGTAAGGAAGCTTGCCTGAAGGTTTCGCCCTGCCCGGGAATCGAACCCGGAACCTCTTATTTCCTTATTATGTAATCGAATAACCAGTTAAATGAATTTATTAATTATGTAATTAACAACTGATTTTTTGTTGGTTATTTCCAGTTAAAGGGCACCTGCAACTCCTGTTGTTCATGTCTTTATCTGTGAGTAAATGTTTCTACTCAAAAATATTATCTATTGACAAGTCCTAGGTGAACCTTAACTTTCTGCGGTTGAATATTAAGATTAACATCTACAACTAACATTAAACCAATCTGCTCGATTGTTCCAGTGAATTAACTTTTTGATTTTTGTCCCAATCTTCAAATCCCTCCATGGACTCACTCCAGCCTATTTATCCAATCTTCCCCAGTCCTATATTTCAGCCTATATTTCCAGCCAGCATCAACACCTCTCTGGCTGATTTTACCAACCACAAGCTACTTAAACTTAGGTTCTGCTTAACCCTGAGTTTCAAAATCCCACATGTAGAACATTGCTTAGACTGTCATCTTCCACCTTCAGAACGTTGCTCACTTATGAACTTGTCTCATCTCCAGTGCTTCTAAAACATTTATCAATATCTTTATCGCCTCGAGAATACATTTCTACAAAATTCTCCTCACTGACCTCCCCAACTTCACTCTCCAGAAATGCCAGCTGCTTCAGAACTCTACAGTCTCTACAGTTTGTATCCTTCAGAGGATCCAGTTCAAGATCTTGGTCCTCACCTACAAAACCCTCCATGGCCTCGCCCCACCCTACCTCTGCGACCTCCTAACCCCCTACCAACCTACCCGCTCCCACCGCTCAGCCGGCTCTGGCCTGCTCCATGTCCCCCGCCCCACCTGCCCCACCTGCCCCACCATTGGCGGGAGCCACTCTGCCCCCAACCTCTGGAATTCCATCCCCCAATTACTCTGCCTCGCCCCCTCCTCAGCCTTCTTCAAATCCCACCTCAAAACCCTCCTCTTCGACCATGCCATCGGTCACCCCCCTTCCCCTCCCCTCCCTTCTCCCTCCCTGACCCCAGCTCGGGTCTGAAATGCTGTACACTGTCCAGCGCTTTGGGACCTCCTCCCGACGGGAAAGGCGCTCTACAAATGTAATCTTGTTGTTGTTGTTGTTGTTGTTGTCTCCATTGTGCCGCAGTGGGCCAGACTAACACCTGCAGCATAACTGAAGTAAACCATTTGACATTGAATTGAAACTCAACTTCACAAATACCAAATCTAGGGCCTCAAAACTGAAGCAACCCAAAATAACAAAACGCATAAACTTTCTCACTGTCCTGCAGCACGGTAACTAATGCATGCAGGCAGTTAATAATAATAATAATAACAATAATAATAATAATTGTTCTTGTATTTGATACAGCCATCTCAAATGCTTTATAGGATATACTGTAAAGTGGTGTGACTGTGTGTGTTTTGTGGGTGAGTGTGAGGAATTTGCTGTGCTATGGCCATAAAAAAATAAAATAAACCTTTTTGGTTCCCCTGTCACAGTACACAATCAATCTACTTTACTGTATATCTTGTGACGTGCTTTAAGACCTCTCAATGATGTAATAAGGTGCTATATCAAAAAAAGGTAAGGATTACAAAAAAAAGCAAGCCTGTTAAGATAGGTAATTCTGTTATTTAGCTTTCGTACAGAGGAACAAGCTGACATCATTATTACCCTTTGTACACAGGCCAATGTTTATTGAATTTGGAACAGGAGCTACTTGTTTCTCTAATATTTTGTTAGGTGTTGCCTCCCCTTCTTTCTGATGTTTTGCCCTCTCTGTTTCCTACTTATTTCTGTGACCTGTTCTACTTGGTCACCTCTGAAGTCTGTTTTTGTTTCCCTGTGTAAATCTTCTAACCCATCCCAGCTGCTGGTGAAACATTGATATCCTGTCACTGTCTGTGTGTTGGTGGTCTGCGAGGTTCTAAAGCTGCAAGCCAGCTGTTGACTGGTCATCACTGGCGATGTCACGGTGCTTAGAAACGTCTAACCAATCCTAGCACCATCTCTCTTACCACTCTTCATTCATGTAAGACCCAAATTTCCCCAAATGTAAACAAGCGTGGGACATCAGGAGATAACCCCAACAAATTGTTCACCACTACTCTTGAAATTCATACAAGACCATTGCAACAACGGTTCAGCACCAAAGAAGATCAATTGAGCTTTTTTGCTTTGCCAATTTTTCTACCAATTTTCATTCTCCTGAAGGTGTTTCTCTCCCTTTTCTTTCTACTGGGTGGGTGGCTCCAGTTCAAGACACTACTTGCCTTGCCCAAACAGCCATAATTCATTGGTGAGCCTTGATAGTGTGAGTGCTGGCAGGCTATTTGACTACAGTAGAATTTCAGCCAAAACTGATCTCATCGTTAGTCACTGACGTGGCATGTTCACCTTCCAGCAGGGAATACTCAATACCAATTATCAGTGGAATTCACAGCAAATGTTGCCATCCCAAACCCAGATACTGAGGTCATTTTTAGCTCCTCTGACCGAGATCTGCTAATTCAGCATTGACCCAGTACTGCACCTGGGGGTGATTCATGGTCTGAATGGCTCAGCTACTAAATACATTCATTGGGCCACTGTTATAGGGCAAAATTTCACAGATATTGGCTGTCCACTAGTATTTTGCCCATCTTGCAATTTAGCTCCGGAGCCATTGCAATGGATTTCTATCCTTTCCATATGCAGAATTCCAAACAGGAGACACAAGCTAGGAATAATTGAGCTTCTTTAGACCATTAAGGAGGAATTTGTGTTCATTTCTACAGCTGAGAGTATTTAATCCCAGATCCGATTTGAGTTTGGTGATCTGAGCAAGAGTTCAATGTAATCTCATCATTGCGATAGAAATGTATAGAGTTGAGGAATTCTCCCTCAAGCCTCTTTCAGAATTGAATTGGCAACATGTTTTAATATAGGAGGATAATCTTTGTTTGATTTCTGGTTAATTGAACTCATTTTTAATTCACTTTATTTTTTTAAAACTTTCAAAATGATGTTTAGACAAGGAAGAAGCATGAACAAATGATTAAAATAAGGTCACCTGACCCATCAAACCTGCTCCCAGTCTGTTTTTATTTCTATTGAATTCTACTTGCCTCCTTGGGACTGAGCTGTTCCAAGGTGATATGCTTGGCAATGGAAAATTGGAATCAAGTCAAAGTAGTCTGATTCCTGAGCCAGGTGGGTTATTAATAGACTAGCTAACCTGGCTCATCGGCAGGACTTTGCAGAGCAGACCAGTCAATGAGAGCAGATACGCTGCTAACTTGGCTCCTGTTAATACTGTATGGCAAAATTTTAATGGGGAGGGTTGTCCTAGCTGGGACAGCTAGTGTTCTCATTGGTAAGGTTTGCAATTTTACTAATCTGCACCTAACACTCTCTGGAATTAGGTAAGCAGAGTGCATCCCTCCAGGGAGAGATTGCTCATTCCATTTCTGACACAGGGAAATAGTCATATGTAGGTGACAACATATATGGAACTCTCAGTCTGGTTTGGACGATCTTAAACATGGTGATGGGTCTCCATATGTGTCAGACACCCTCAGACTCCCCAAAATATTCTACTGAATTTTGAAATACTGTTTAACCATTCAGGCCGGGGAGTCTGGATGGATGTAATCAGGAACCGAGTACATACAATATTGTACCTTCTCATCTAAGGCCAATATTTCAACAATGTTCAGGCTGATCAAATCTATGGTATCTTAAATCCTACCTGAAAGAGGTTGGACAGTCTTAGTTTGCATTCTAGGAGGTTGGGATCCAATGCAGAAAACTTTCCACAAATGAATGCAAAATAATTTGGATGGTTGGTATGTAAATTGAATAATCCATACCAGTGCAGTAAGGGTGCTCTTCTTTTGTTGAAGTTAGGGGCATTATTAAAGAGAATATGGGAAGCTCTTGACACAGTATTGGCATCTCCATCAGAGCAGCCATCAGCACAAAGTTTATGTTGTCTTTTGTGTGCAGTCCTCAGGAAAGTGGTAATAGTGTCTCACCACCAGATGAAAGCACTTCTGTAAGACTTCAATGGACATCAAGCCAACTTGTAAGACTTTAACTCTGAGGTGACCTTGTGTCGGAGTTCAAGTCTGATAAATCAATGTGACATGAAGGGATTTCCCCATAGAAAAAGTAGCTTGTGTCATAAAACTCCCTCCCCACCCAGTGGCAAGGCACTACCATTACACCACCTACCTGAGGAGCCAGTGTCGGCAGTAAAGATGTCCATGACAAATGTAGAGTTTCCCACACTCTGAATACTCCACTAATGGGCCTTAACCACAACCTTAGAAAAAACAAGGTTTTTCTATGAAGAAAAACTTTCCCTGGTGAAGCAAAGGACATGTTTCTAATTCTAACCTGAACAATCATTACCATCTCTAAGACTGAGACTGAAATGTCAATGTGATGCTAATTTTGTGCCAAAGCAGTTTTGCTCTCTAGGAACTAGGTTAAGAACACTAAAACATCACTCAGAACCTGGCAGAGAGAGGAGACTTTCATCACGTCAATGTGGATTGGATCTGATCCCAAGTTCCTAAAGCGACAGGACTGTGTACTGAAACGTTAATATTCATTCCCAGGTTAGTTGCAATTTAAATTGACACTGTCGTGTCTTTCCTGCTCTTCCCCTGCACTATTGGCCTTTCACATGGATTTCTCAATTTGGAAAAAAGATAAAACTGCTGGATAATTGTTTTTTTGTTTGGACAGGAGACTATCCTAATGGTATCACACACAAGAGACATGAAGCATTTCAATGTAAGTTACCTCAAATATTATGAATTTTTTTAAATGAAGACGGCTCCCTTTTAAAAGATATGACAGAACTATTTGATTTAAGTATTTTTGCGACATAAATAAGAATAGACTTCCATTGGAAGGAATTTCTTCTAATACTGAAATGGTGAGAAATCTGCTGGTTTTATTTAACAATAAAATCTCAATTAGTGTGAACCAGGGAATAAAGCCTTGATCCAGCATTTGGGCTGGTTGGTTTGATTTTCTTCAGCCATTTAAATTGCTTTGAATGACTCAGCTGCCATTATACAAGGTAACATTAAGGCTGCTTCAGTTCGTGGCTGCTGCCGATTTTACATCCCTGTGCAACAACAAATTACATTTCAAGTCGGGAGGAATTCCCAAGACGCTGGAGAATTTGTTGATCATTGCCAAATACAACAACTGTACACTTTTAATAATAATAATCCTTGCATTTGATATAGCACCTTGTCAAAGTGCTTCACAGAATATACTGTAAAGTGAATTGACTGTATATTTTGTGGGCGAAACATGGCAGCCAATTGTGTACAGCAGGGTCCCACAAACAGTAGTGGATTGAATAACCAACTTGTTATTATTTTTTTTTGAAGGACAAAGCGTGCAGATTTGCCCTCAAACATTTTTAAAAAAATCTTGTTAGGAAATATATTTTCCTTAATTTTATACCTTACAATGATGCTTTATTATGAATTTACTATGCACAGGCTTGTACACACTATTGTACAGATATTCAGTAGGATGAAGCACTAACATGTATTGTTTGTTATTATTCACACCTGTATCCTGTTTTACTTATTTAATTAAAGATGTATTAATTAAGTGCTTTCCTGCATAACAACTTGACTGATACTCACTGATGGAAAACTATATTGATTGTCTGCAACATACTGTGCAGTATACACTGCACTTTACAGTAAAATCCTGTGAAGCACTTTGAATTGTCCTCCTGACATCAGATGCAAGGATTATTATTTATCTTGTAAGATCTGATTTTTATGAATTAATAATAAGAATAAGAATCCTTGTATTTGGTATAGCGGCTTATCTCGTCGTTGAGACTTCTGAAAGCTCTTCACAGAATATATTGCAAAATGGATTGACAGTGTATTTTTGTGGTCAAAATGAATGTGAACTGACCTCGAGTGTGATGGCGAATCGTTACCTTTTGGCATAGTTCCTCTCACTTATTGCTTGCAATTTGAGCAATAAAGTTAACAATAAAAAGGTTTAATTTGTAGAGCATTCAATACTTCCTACAACCTAAGGCTTTAAATGGTAATTTCTCCAGTAGGGGGTGTGAACTGCATCAACTTGCCCAAGAGAGGAAACATGCTTATCGTCTCCAGCCACATAGCCTGCCTGTGATTTAGTGATGTGTGTGTATATATATATATACAGTAAATTCCAGCATCAGAAATATTGCAATGATATAGATAATGAACTCACCATGTACTCCATATTAGCAGCAGGTGGGAAGACTTGACCCCGGACCTTGTTGTGGTAATCTAGGATAACAGACATATCATTCTGGGAGATATATCGCCTCCTTCTGCTTTGAGGGACTTCCCCAGGTTGCAGATACCTTCTCCAGTTCGGTTCCTCGTCGCTGGAGTTTGCTGAGAGCAGGGTGTCCGTGACATTTGCTACCACAGATGCCCTGGTGGCATGCAGCACACACAGCAATCTGATCAGGCTCAGTGTGGCAGAGAGCTTCATCATCAAGATCTGGTCAAAATCTGAAGGTCGTTGTGTGTGCTGCAAACAGGGATTGCACATCGATTTAAGAACAACAACAAAAAAAGAAGCCAGCACGTAGCTGGTTAACAGTTATTGGTTCAAACATGCAAATCAATAATTCAAACGAAAGAGAATTGCCTCCTTTATTACCAGCGCATTGAATAGAACTGACCCCCAATGTTAATAATATTCATTAAAAAAAAGTAGAAGTGTTTCGACTTTTTTTTTGTAATAAAAAAAATCTGACCAAATCGTACGAAGTGCATTTTGTTTTGTATTAAAAGAAGTATTATTCGCTGATAACACCCCAAATGTTATCTGCTGACACCTTCTTGCCACAGACAGAATTGTGCAGTAAAACTCTATCTCACCTCTTTCATTCACTCACTCACTGGCAAAGATGTAAGTCGTGTTCTTCCAAATCTCAAACTCCGTCTGGGAAGAGTCTTGAGAAGTTTTTTTTTATTCTTGCGATGGGAGTGAAGTAAGGACTTACAGTGATGTGGGGTGTGGCATGTGAGGAACCCTATAGGAGAGGGAGATCTGCTGGTCTGAAATTCGTGCTCCTTGGGCTTTTATATGCTGTAAAAGGTCTCAGGATGGAAAAAAGATTTCTCTTTGATGGTTGCATGTGTGTGTGTGTGTCGTTAACCCTCTATAGCCCCTGGATCGGTATTTTATCATCTTGAAATCTTGCCAGTGCCTTTTTTTTTGTTGCTGTTTCACTGTTGCCAGAATTCACCATCATCAAACCACATGTGTGTCTAATGTGGATTGCTGGCTGGCAATGGAGCAAGCAGCTCAACTCAGTGACAACTCAAGGTGTGAACCGTGTATATAATTGACCGAATTGTCGCCTTTTTTCAGGTTTCAAGCACACTGGGCTGATATTTTGATGAAGGGCACGTCATCTATAATTCATTTAATAGGTGTCTCTCACCTGATTTACCGAGACATGGCTAAGATACAGGCATTGGGTTGAATCACTCAACCTCAGACAGACTCAGAGAAAACAAGTCAATTGCACCATTTCCAATCAAATGCCCGCAAAGCAAGCAGGAACATTCACATTCATTCAGTGGAGTTCCTGACCCCTACAACTCTCACTTGTGCTGAACATGAAGGACTTTTCCCCCTCTAAATGTCATTAAAAAAAATTGAAAATGAAGCAGGGGTTGTACTTTTGATATTCATGGTTGGAAATGCGTTTTCAAACTTTCTGTTTTTTAGAAAGATAGATGTTAAAGGCGTAAAATAAAGCTTTCTTGAAGGCAAACTTCACAACCTTTAACATCTTTAATATTACGAGTCATGTGTTGTGTAAGGTTAAACCATGCCAACATACTAAATAAAAACCAGGGCAAAAAAAAAGTGCCTTGTGCTGTCTTAATGTCAGTGTATGAAGACATTCAGAGCAAAACATTCCTGCACTGTGCAGGAACATTCAACCCATTCTGCTGGGGATGTTTAACATGGCAATTGTTAACTGTAAGGCACATTGGATTGTGCAACTGTAAAACGACATCCCTGCAAAAATAGAAATTATTTACAGGAACAACCACCACTCCAAAAAAAAACACGCACACATATAAAGCAAAAACATAAACGTTGCACTTTTTGAACTTTTTTTAAAAAAAAAACTTTGGGGGGGGGTTAAAAATAGCAAGGCTTGTCATTTGCACCGAAGGAAACTCAAAATCTGACCTGTTTCATGGAAAGGTCTAATATAGAGTGAACATCATAGCAACTCTAGAACAGAGAGAGCGCCTATGGCTTGCAGGACAGTGTGTAAGAAGTGCGCTTGTTTCCAGTCAGGGTCGGTGCAATGTTAAGAGTACGGTTTGCGAGGTTTTTGATCTAAGCCAAAAACAACAGCTCCAGAGAATCATATTTCATGCTGCAACTTAGACAAACTAACAGCAAACTGACGCACGAACAGCCTCTGAGAAACGTACTTCTTTTCGAGGGGGAAATGATTAATACTTCAATATTCACAAACGCTGTGGGTAAAGTCTGCCCTGGAACAGAACAGGTTTACCGAGGTTTTATGTTGTCTAACTTCAAAGCACATATTTTACGTGCAAACATTAATTGCCGTGAACAGCGTCCAGATAAATCCACCGATTATTTAAGCTGTGTTATCATTTCAACACTGGGATCCTGTCTACTTAATACACTTGCAAAAGTGTAATTGCTTTTTCACCATCTAAGTTAAAATAATCAAAGTGTGGAAAACCTTGGGCAGACATAGAAAATACACTTCCACATTGTTTTCCTGCTTATATTAAAACAGTTCAGTCATTTTTGAGCTCAGTACTTAAACTTTTAGTTGAAAATTGGTTGGATCACAGGACAAATGGAGTGCCAGCCTGGCTCAGCTGGTAGTACTCTGGTCTCTGAATCAAAAAGATGTGGGTTCACTCCCCATCTGGTAATCAGAGTCTAGGCTGACACTCAAGTGCAATGCTGGGGGAAGCCTTCCAATGTTAGAGGTGCCATCCTTCGGATGAGAAGTTAAATCGAGGTCCCTTCTGCCTGTTTAGGTGGACATTAAAAATCACATGGCACGATTCAAAAAGAGAAGAGAGTTTCTCCCACTGTCCTGGTCAACAATCCACAGATCAAATTGATCATTTGCTTGATGGCTGTCTGTGAGACATTGCTGTGCACAAATTGGCAGCTGCATTCACCTTCAAAATACACAGTCATTGCACTTTATAGTGAATCCAGTGCAGCATTTTGAGATGGTGATTGGGCTGTACATTTCTATGGTTTGATTGCTGTGTTGGCTAGCGTAAAGAGTCACAATATTTCACAGGAAAGCTCTTTGAGATGTTTTGATGTTATGTTAAGGCACTATACAAATGTAAGTTCTTTCATTCTATACAAGTATAGAATGAGAAAAGACCGTCTAACCCACTCCTTCCAAAAATTAAGGAAGAGAGCACACATCATGGACCTTACCATATGAACTCCATCTCTTGGAGAATGCTTTTCCTACAACAACAACAAAATTACATTTATGGAGCACCTTTCACATCGGGAGGATGTCCCAAGGCGTTGGTCAGTCAGGGGTCAGGACCCGAGCATGGGGGAGGGGTGGGATAGGGGTGAGGGAAGGAAGAGAGGTGGGAGGGTGACCAAAGGCACTAGCGAAGAGGAGGGTCTTGAGACCAGCCTTGAAGGAGGCAAGGGAGACAGCGAGGCAAAGGGACTGTGGGAATGGAGTTCCAGAGTGTGGGGGCAGAGAGGCTGAAAGCCCGGCCACCGATGATAGGGCTGGTCGGGCTGGAGACATGGAGCAGGCCCAAAAGATAATTAAGTACATTGTTAATACCTCACAATGATTCCATCTCAAATCTTTTAGATGAATGACAATTAAGATTGGTCCGAACAAATGGTCATTTTAAAGGTTACCATGTGAAGTGTGATTATATATTGCATTAGAGTAGTGCACTATGAAAGGTCTGAGCTGCTTTTAACACTGGCTGCAGTGGTGTTTCTGCACAAATCAAATCCATAAATAGTTCATTCCAAATATATTGGAAAGTAAGTAATGATCTGGCTTAATATTGTCATACCATTAAGCATTAACCAGTATATTGTAGAGTAGGGATGAAGGATGTTGTAAAAATGTTATGTGACAAAGAAACTTTGGTGGGAACTGGAGGGGCAGCAGACTGACCTTTCCCCTCCGAGATCTGGATTGGAATCCAGCCCATCATTCAGATGAAAGATTATTCTCTCAGGCTGCTTTAAGGCTCACAAGTCAAATAAGTTTGAGCAGTTTTGACTGTTTACAATGGGCATGAATTGACAACACAAGACCTTCCAAACTCGGCAGTAACTTGGCAACCTGACTCACAGGGTATAAAAACGATTGGTGTGGGAAATAGGAAAGTCAGATTACTGCAATAGGGGACTCTTGAAACTGAGGTTAAAGCATATTGTTGGGACATTGCTGAAGCAAGATTGGACTATACAGGTTGAAGAAGATTATGCAGGTGGATTGGGGAAAGTCATGGGGAGATTTGAACAAATCACATTCCCTTGTAATTGAATATATCTTCGACCTTCAAATAAGTTACTGAACATTGATATTGTAACTTTTCCTTTCCATGTGTAAGTGGGATGCATGGAATTCTCAGTTTGGTTTGGATACTTTTAAGCATGGTGATGCATTTCTACATGTGTCAGACACCTGGCTGAGCAAAGAAAACCCCCAAAAGTTTGCTTTACTACGCACCTCTCCCGAAGTTACTGACTCATCACAAAATCACAAGATTGGTCTTGATAAAGAAGGTCATTCTGCCCAACCAATCTCATTTCACCACAACACCGACCTTACTGTCATCGTCATCCCCCCACCCCTAGTCCATTGTCGTTCCCCCCACCCACCCCCAATTGCTGCATCAAACTGCTTTTTCCATGAGGCCAGTCCTTGCCTCAACCACCTTTCTTGGCAACCTGTTCCAGTTGTTGATTACCCTCGGTGTAAAGTAAAACTTCTTGGTAGCAGTTTTGAAATTGCCCTTTACGACTCTAACCTATATTCTCGAAACTCTGTCTGTCCAGCGCCTTGGGATGTCCTCCCAACGTGAAAGGTGCTATACAAATGTAATTTTGTTGTTGTTGTTCTCTTGCTCTACTGCCTTGATACATCGTAGAGCATTAAACCCATGTAGGGATGTGGATCAACAGGTGCCAGCCACCTCACCTTAAATAACCATTCTTCATGTGTATCAGCAGGATATTTATGTGTTCAGTTTCATAGTGAAGCCCAATCCTTTTCTGACCCAATGTCCACAAACTCATACTTTTCAGCAATTCTCTTTAGATAGGTCAGAAAAATGTGATATTCTAGCTGTAATTACTTAATTCAATATAAATAAGAGATGCACTTGGGGATAATTGTGGTCTACACAACTTAATATCATAACAACAACAAAAACAAATTACATTTGTATAGCGCTTTTCATGTCGGGAGGACGTCCCAAGATGAAGTCAATCAAGGATTTGAATCCAAGCAGGGGTTTGGGATTGAGGGGAGGAGTGTGGAGGGTAGGTGGGATAGGGGTAGGAGGATGGTCAAAGCCGAAGCCGAAGAGGAGATTCTTGAGACATGCCTTGAAGGAAGCAAGGGAAAGAGTAAGGCGAAGGGACTGTAGGATAGAGTTCCAAAGGTTGGGGGCAGAAAGGCTGAAGGCCCAACAGCTGATGGTGGGATGGGACAGGCCAGGCAGGGGATGTGAAGCAGGCCAGCTCCTCCTGAGCGAAGGGAGCAAACAAGTTGATATGGGGTTTGCAGATCACAGAGGTAAGAAGGAAAAGGCCTTGGTGGGCCTTGAAGGCAAGGACAAGGATTTATTCTCTGGGGGATGGGGAGCCAGTGGAATCAGGAG